TTGGAAGGAATACTTTGAAAGAAGACGCCTATCGCATCAGCCACTGCTAACGTGGAGCAGCCTGCTTCCACTCTCACGCACTCAGGGCCGCCAGGTCTGCCAATTGGCTTCGTGGCAACGGTTTTGATTGGAATCTTTTATTATGTTGTAAGCATAAAACAGGGAGATTTAAGAAAGAAACTAACATTGTTCAAAGGAAAACATTTAGATTAACCTCAAACAGACTTAAGTTTAATTCAAATTTAGGCAAAATTCTTCTCATTTTTTAGAACTTACTAAAACAGAGGTTCTGAAAAATGAAGAAAAATATTCTGAGAAGCTATTGTTTTCTCCTTGTTTTTATCATTTTTCAAATCTTATCTTGGTTGCTTTACAAATGTTTCCCTCTTAGGAAGGGAGAGTAATATGTCTAGGGGTGATATAAATTGCAGATTTGATAACTTTAGTATTTGCTGAGCTCATTTTCCAATTTGGTTTTATTCCCAGTTAACCATTCTGTTAGGGTGACAGTGTGTTACCCAGATGAAATAAGTGTGATTCTTTAATTTATAGGTATGTAAATACCCATACATATAAGTTACAGAAATGATAGTATGACTCACATTCTGCCAATCTGTGAGTTTAGCTATTAATAAGAGTAGATTTACTACAACCTATTCTATACTGTGAACCACGTGGCTGATAAATTATTCATAGACTTATTAGAGAGTTAAAGAATCATTTTCAATAAATCATAATTGCTCTCTATTAATTTACAGGGTGTCTATAGTAGATATCTTCTGGGAAATAATTCATCTGAGAATAGCTGTTTGTTTGCCAATATTGTGAAACCTCTGGCAGAAACTGGATTACAACTCTCAAAAAGGTAAATGAAACCAATTTCTCAGCAATAAAATGATTAAACAAATTAGAATCTTCACTGTACTTCCAGTGGGCATGTGAATGTTATAAACCTGAAAAGGCTAGGAAACGCTCAGTCATCGCTGTGCCAGTCACAGCAGTTTCTGGAGTAAAGCTCTTCTGTGTGAAAAGACAAAAGCCACCCCACTCCCATCACATCGATTCCAAATCATAGTGACTTGACATCAGGTTTCCAAAGCTATAAATCTTGACAGAGTGGATAGCCTCATCTTTCTCCCAAAGAACAGCTAGTAGGTTTGAACACCAACCTAGCAGTGTAAAAAAGATCCCCAAATTCATAATGTAAAGTATTTGGGGCACCAACTTGAATACGTGAACTTTTAAGGATACAAACCAAATGGTCAAATGTTTCTGTATGGCCGGATCAATACCAGGCTGTCTTCTAGCAGCAAGTGACCTTGAATCTTCCCCACCGGTGCGGAGCTGACCAGAGCTGGCTGAAACAACTAGCAGCGAGTGGCCTTGAATCTCCCACCCACACCTGTGGAGCTGACCAGAGCTGGCTAATGGCCCGCTTTATTCTCGATCCACCGCTCTGCACCCGGCACTGGCATGGCCCATTTGGCTCAGTGCCTACCTTGCTCTCGACCCTCCACTCTGCACCTGGCATGGCCATTTGGCTCAGTGCCTGCTTTATGCTCACCCACTGCTCTGCACCCAGCACGAATATACTCGGAACCAGGAAGACACCTTACATTCCAGAAACCTGGATATACCTGTCCATATATAAGCACCACCCCTGTAGCCTGCAGTGTGACTCCCCCAGCCCAGACGTTGTGGACTGTGGGACTTCACCCAGGATGTGTTTTTCTCCCTAATAAAGCCTGTTTGTTCTAATTCGACTGATTTGGTTTCTGCATCCTCTCGACTACCTTACAGTTTTCTTGTCAGAGAATCCAGCCCCTAACAAATAATCACAGGTCAAGTAGGTGCAATTGTACAGCGATAATAAGTAAAGATTATAGTAAAGACATAAAGATCATGA